ACCGCCACCCGCGTTCGCTGCGTCGCCTGTCCCCAAGGCAGAGAGCTGTCTCTTAAAACTCCCGGTAAAATCCTAACGCCTCTAAACCAAACCGCTCTCGTAGAACCGTGCCAGCTCCCAGGGTCACTCCAGCTGCACGCAGGAGAACAGGGCTGCTCCCCCCGCAGGCACCCGCTTCCAGCCCGAACCCTGGTTACGTGGGTACGTGGGCCGAGAGGTGCAGTCGCAGGACGTGGTTGCCCAGCTCTCCATCAGTTAGTGCAACTAAAAATGTTGCTCGGCAGTGCCCTTCCTGGCGCTGCCGTGGCTCCTGTCCTCGTTTCTGAGGCGGATGGAGCTTAAACGAGGAATTTAGAAGGCTGGCTCTTTGGTTCATCACAAATTCAGGCACGGGAGCCGGGAGGTTTAGCTCCCCAGGCTGTGCTGCAGGTAGGAGGCTTCTTTCATCATTGGTCTCCCAGGACTGCTGCGCTTGCTGAGCAGCAACACGCATACTCAGAGGCTACAGGGCAGAAAACAAGTCAAGGATAATTTGAATGTTTACGGACACAGCTGAGCAAGCCCTCTGCTTTTCAGAGGCCTTCAAATGTTTAGGAAACAAAGTCCTACAAGTGGACAAATGTGCTGTTAAGAACCACTGCAGCTTTGCAATGTAAATCTTATTACCGTGGTTGAAAACACAAGTGGAACTTGACTCTGACTTGCAGAAAGCAGCCATTACATGTTTAGGGAAGTGTCACGGAGCATTAGACCATCACTACCAGGAAGGTGCAGAGGGACCTTGGAGCAAATGAGCCTGAGTTGGGGTTGTTCAGCCTGGAAGTGGAGGCTCTGGGGAGACTGTAGCGGCCTCCCAGTACATAAAGGGGGCCTAGAGGAAAGCTGGAGAGGGACTTTTTACAAGGGCATATAGTGGTAGGACAAGGGGTAACGGCTTCAATCTGAAAGAGGATAGATTTAGAATAATTATGAGGAGGAAATTCTTCACTGTGAAGGTGGCAAGACACTGGCACAGGGTGCCCAGAGAAGTTATGACTGCTCCCTCCCTGGAAGGGTTCAAGGCCAGGTTGGACAGGGCTTTGAGCGACCTGGTCTGGTGGGAGGTGTCCCTGCCTGTGGCAGGGGGGTTGAAACTAGATGATCTTTACGGTCCCTTCCAACCCAAACCATTCTAGGATTCTGTGAGCTCCTAGATTAGCTCCATTTAGTCACTCTCTGCTAGGAGGTTTAAAACAACTCCTGGGTGAAAAGGAACGAGCTTGTCCTGCCCTCGGAGAGGATGACGGCGCTCCTCTCCACAGTGTCTCTCAGCCTGGAGCAGCCGCCGCTGAGCGCTGAGCTCCTCTCTCTGTGCTGCAGCCCCAACACTCGGTACCTGACACCCATGGGCTCCCACTTCCTCAGAGAGTTGCCCCCCTTCCCCTCACCCTGGTAGCCCTTTGCATTTCTCTACACTGAGTTTCACCTGGACTTTATTGCCCAGGCAGTCACTCATAAGAAAGACTCGCCTGTACAGTCTACAGTTCTATACAACCTGTCCACATTCTTACTGCCATAAACAACTTTGTGTCATCAGCAGACTTCCTCGGCTAAGTGCTCAGCCCTTTTTCCAGATCATTTATAACGATGCTGAGCTGCACAAGTACCAGCACGGATGCTGGGATGCCACTCGTGACCTCTATGCTCCTGAAAGCCCCAACTAGGACCTCCACTCTCTGTCCCTTATCCCTGAACTCATTACTTAGCCTTATTTATCCTACAACTAATGGCTTCAGAAAGTGCCTTAATTCTATTAGATTCCCTAGCTTTTTGCATGGGTGGATCTGCAGCCTTACTCATGGTCTTTTAATATTATTTTGGGGTATAGAATTGAATTGAACCACTCTAGGTGCTCTATAATGAAGTGGGGCAGGGAGAGAGGAAACCGCTGGCTATGTGGCGTTTTGAGCAATTAGCAGACTATGTAGTATATCTGCTTTGTTGATTTTTACTCAAGGAGATCAAATGCTGGCTGGTATTCTGTATACATGCAAGAAAATGTGCCTGCTGCTAGTGAGACTGCATTGGATCCAGACTATCTGAAACCAGTGCCATGTTTCATATGGTGGAGGAAAAGCACAGGATCTATCTATAGTCACTGACCCTTCTAATTCACAGGGAGTTTGGGGTTTTTTTTCAGCTCTGATAAAAACAATGCAGCGCATAAGCCTCTTTGAGTCATCCTCTCTGCTATAAGAACAACCATAAACAGCTGATTTCTATGAGGCAGATGTATTTATAGGCTTGGGATAGAATATAGATTTTTAAAATGCCACTTTTCTGCTTCAAAGAGATTGACTTAAATTTTTAATCTGTGTAAAATTAAACCAGCTAATTAATGAAAATGGCTACAGAGTAAAAGGAATTAAAGTTTCAGAAAATCATTACGCATTGATATGGCTGCATGCTCTGATTTGGTAATGAGTCGTGACAGGGTGAACATTATCTAACTCTATTTGCATCCAGGTACTGTAAGAACCTGTGGGCAATGAGATGCTACCATGTGAGAGCTTTGCTCTGGAGGAGTTTCTTGCTTAGCATTAGGAGAGCACTGTTATTTAGGAAGGAACCGTGACCCTTCTGGCAGAGGGAAGATCTAGGATGTCAGGTCTCATTTTCCATCCTTGCACAATCCTCTTATGTGTCAGCCTCTAAAATGAACATGGTGCTGTGTGATTCCCAAACAAGCGCATGCAACCAGGGCCCAGGTCATCGGGGAGTTGTGTTGAAATCCCACTGAAATAAATGAGTCAAGAAAGTCAGTAGGAGCTGGGGCATGAAATCCCTTTACCTTCTATGGGAAATCTGCTCTTTCTTCAGGCAGCCAGCGGCTCCCTAATGTGGAGGTACCACCACACTCTCACAACAGCAGCAGGTACTTCCATCTCCTGCTGCTGCCGTTTTATAAATCCCTTCCCCACCCTGAGTAAATGTGTGCAGGGTCAAAATCAAACTGCATTAGAAATGAGGAACTGTTCCCTTCTGAAGCAGAAATCATGTCTCACAAGGAGATTTATCATGTGGAAGATTTGCATTTTCTTCTCCTAGGGAGGCATGTGGCACCCTGACTCTTATACTTCCGTCAGAAGCGGTACCGAAGGAACTGGCAGGTGCAAAGGCTGAAGGAAACACCGAGCCCTTGGAGGCAGAAAACGCTCCCATGGATAATGCACAAGACCCAGTGCTGTTCCTGAGGAGGTGGGGAGAAAGCCCTGGGCTAGGTGATGTGCTGCGCGGTCGTGTGGCGGTCGCGCCACGGCTGTTTTGCCCGTGGCTTGCTCAGCAGGTGAGCTCTGTGGGACGGGCTCCACGCGCCGTGTCTAGCCCACCTGGGCCTCTTGGTGTTGCTATAATGCCAGCAATGCATAGGGCCTGGATATAATGCTAATAACCCAGTGAGGGTGGGGGGTACAGTCCCATTTATAATCTATATGAGAAACCTTAAGGAGTCCAGTGCTGCCATCCTTGCTCTGACATGAGTCCACAGGCTGGTAATCAGATGTAACCATGTGAATATCTGCTCTCTCTGCTGAAAAAAGGAAATTTTCTCTCTCTCTCTTTAATGTGCTGCTAAGATCAATGATGAAATGTTGACAACGAAGGATTCTCCTGGGACCACTGGGTGGTAAAAGCTGGAAGTTGATTTCCTATCTGCAAGGCTGTGTCTGCCTGTAGGATATATATTCCACTCAAGTATTATCTGTTTTCTTAAGCGTCCCCACCTTATCTGACAGAGGACACAAAAACACAGCAGGAGAACAGGCAGAAACTGCAACCTGATTTCTCAACAGAGGTAATCAACTCTCTTCCTTGTCCCATGCTCTGGCCTAGTAATATACAGAAGTGGGTGATTCCTGTCTGAATTAAGTATATTGTATATTTTGCTAAGATAATTTAGACCATTCTGCGACTCTTGTAACAACAGCGTGACATGCCATACATGTAATCCAACAGGTTGAACTGAATGCAGATGCTTTAAAAACTTTTCCATTCTCTCCCTCATTTCCACTCCAGCAGCTGTAGATCCCAGCTTACATGCCTTGTTAAAACAGCCTGATTGAACCAACATCCTCACTAATGAGCATTTCTGATCCACAACTTTCAAGGGGAGCGGCTGGAACCTGCTGAGGAATTGCCTCTTCATTGGAAAAGGTCAGGAAAGGAGAGGCCTTCTCCCAGACATCATTCTCGCTTCTTCCACTTCTTTCTCCAAGCAGATTTAGTTCTCAAATCCAACTGATTCCTAGGAATAGGTGGCTCTTGATTTTTTTTTTTTTTCCCCATTATTCTGAAATAGTGCTTTATGGACAATTTCTAAGGGCATGGGGAACCAATATAAAAAGTACCAGAGACTACAATCTCATCATCTTCCTCACACCCCCCAAGTGGAATAAAATAACTTCTGTCTCAGAATATTTTGGCATTGTGATCTTTAATTCCACATGGGGAACCAGCCATGCCGAGTGGCAGACTCCTGTGGTAGGGATAACTACTGCTGATGTACTTTTGACTCAAGGAAGGAGGGGGAGCTACAGATCCCCAAAAGCAACAGAAGAGAGGGAGAGGAAAATCCCACTGCAGACTTCCCCATCCTGCATGGTGCCTAATACAAAAGGAGGTTGCTAAAGGAACAGTTTCCCCTGAGTAGAACTAGTCATGCACATGGGCTTTGCGCTGAATCAGTATCAGCGCTACCAGAAAAAGATGGAAAAAGCTCCTTCCTCTACTTAAATAGCTTTGCTCAGCCAGCACCTCTGGGAGCAGCAGCTCTGAATTCACTCGGCCCTGGTCTCTGACATTTTGTGCAGCTATCTGGACCCCTAGAACCATTCATGCAAATCGCCCTCTTAAGAACTATAAAGTAATACGGTATTTAGCATCAACCCACTCAGCCCCCACCAAAATAACTTCAGGCTGAGGTCTTCAGCGGCTTGAATGATGCTGTGCTGTTGCCATGGCAGCACACCGCTCTCCGCAGGCTGCCCGGGGTCAGGAGCAATCGGGCGGCTTCTCACCGCCGCACCTCGCAGCAGCCGTACCTGCAGGGCCGCTGCGTGTCCCGGTGGGGTGGCAAAAAAAAAAAAAGCCCTTCTCCCCGCCTTGCGGTCCTGGAAGAAGAGGAAAATGCCTGCCTCTGCCAAAAACCTGGCTATGCAAGCCGAGTCACCTCAGAGCTCCAGAAGAGCCGGTGCATACTGGCGGTACGTCTGCTGGCTTTGGGTTTGGGGGCAGAAGGGGGGAGATGCTGGGAAGGAAGCACTCCGCGGCAAGGGAAGCCCAGTTGTGGGTGATCTACCTTAGCAGACAGGTAGGTGAGATGCCCCACAGGCCAGTGTTCCCAGCTGCTTCTGCATTTATTTCTACCAGCGTATCAGCCAGCTAACCTCAGAGTTCAAAGCTGTTGCCCTCTGGCAGAGGAAAACAGTGCGTTCAGAACAGCCTACAGAAGGACACAGAGCTTCTGGGCGAGATATGCAGGTAAAAGGCTGGATACCAGTGAGGAGGATTATTTTTGTTTGACTATTTAATTCAAGGTTTATTTGTTCCCTTCCCTGTGTTGATACTGATGCAGATTCATTCCAGTTCAGAAGCCGTCACGTAGGGAGAAAGGAAATAACACAATCTGGCTCCCCTCTTTTGGCATCTGAACAACATAGTTCCTCAGGAGCACTCAAGAGGCCGGCAGCATGTAAATACTTTCCCTCATGGTGACACAGACAGAACTTTCTGGTAGTAGAGTAACCCCCTTCCTCCCTTTGACTAGTCACAGCTGCACGTACCTTTGGTGTAACATCATGGTTATGCAATGCTGACTCTCCCACTTTGCTCTTACTGTGCCTCTTTCATATTTGCGCAAACAGAAGCTGAGACGGAGCCTGGCAACAGCCTCTGAGAGCCCAGCCACTTCTCAGCCCTCCTTCCCTGAACCTGCACCACTCCCAGCGGCACCAGCGGTGAGCTGGGAGCACCGACCACCACTGAACTGCAGCCCAGGAGGGCACAGCTTTCTCCCGTCTCTGTCCAAAAGGAACCCAGTAAGGCATGAACACAGGGGCTGCCCAGTGCACTCGTCCACCTAAACGATGCGGACCCCGCCGGGATGCTAGTATTTACAAGTAGATCTAGGCTCACTGCATCTCTGGGCCCCCCTCCTTTCTAGGTCACCATGACTTCCGCAATCATCCCGTTCACCAGGACTGATGGAGCACAGATGTACTCTCGAGGGAGTGAGCGCAAACCAGAACCCTCATCTCTGGAAAATGCTTCCCAGGAAGAACCATCTCCTCACCATCACGTATCCCAAAGGACCTACGGAGAAGACAGAGCAGGAAATTAAGCAGAAAAGTGAGTTCCTAGGACTTTTGCTACTTTACCCCTTTAAGGTTCTCAAGCAGGATTTACGATCACATTGTGTTCAGAGACACAGAGCACAGTGTTGTGCTAACAGGTAAGCAGGAAACAACCACAGTGAGATACAGATCTGCAGTGCTTTAATTAAAGCACAGGTAAACAGCAAGCAGCAGCAGTCCTCTCAAGTGTTTCACAAGCCTCATCTGAGTCATTACCGTTTGCCTTGTCAGTTGCAAGGTGTCTAAGAGTGCTTCCCATGTGAGCTTGTGGGGCCTGGAGCGCAAGGGGACAAGCTGAGCCTGGCTGTTGGGCAGAGTACTGGTGTTTGTCCACAACAACTGAGGGATCCGAGTGCACGGCAGCAGTGAAAACACACAGCCTGCCAACAGGTGACTGAACCGTGTCAGGGCAAGAAGAAGAGATGTTTCATTCCGGACTGAACAGTAAAACGTGTTAAAAAGAGAAATGAATCTTTGAAAGCATGGCCCAGGCAGATTCCCCCAGTGTGGCAGGAAAGACTCACGTTCCTGATTTACCACTTTTGGCAGGGAATGTAGCCAGAATGTAAAACACGGGTGATCATAAGCAGAATTAAACAGGGGGGAGGTTCTGGCAGCACAGTACCATCCATGCTGGACAGTGTGTGGGATCCTCTCTGTGACCCTGACAACAAAGCAACAGCAGGAAGTGGTGTGGAGCTGCTAGCCATGGCCATGACTGGCAACAAAAACACAGAGGCCTTTTTAATATTGCAAAGACAGAAATTAAATCCTCCTCTTACGCAATGCTTGCCCTTCCTCAGCAGGGATCAAATCAATATAGGACCATTCAAAGTCAATGGCTTATTTCAAGGGGTTTTGAATTGGGCTTTGTAGGCAAAAAGGCATCGGCCTTGTTTCAAGCTCCATGAAGACACATTGGTATTTCCATTCCACATCTATTTGTAGGACAGAAACATGACTTTGTTCCTCTTTAATCCTGTTTAAATGTTACACTATTTTAAAATAAAGTCTGTCAGGAAAAAAAGAATCAAGTCTAGTGCTGGAATTATCCCTGGTGAAGACTGGGGATCCCACTTGTTATTGAATGAGAATTGCCTTGAAGAAAGTTAAGAACAACCTTATAGCATCAACGCTGTACTGTGCCATCCTTTCTTCTGGTTTAATTGGTGCTTTAGCCTTACTTCTATGGTGGTGGTTTAAGCAGACCAAACATGTGCATATGCGTACACATGCAGGCATGTCACTATACTAGAGCTACCAAACCCTATAAACAGTGTTAACAGTTAACTGCATGCCTTTCTGGAGGATGTTAACAGCAGCAGAAAGAGAACTTTCACGTAATTTCTGAAGAAATGCTACAGTTGTAGGTCAACTTACATAACTGATTTAGTTCAACAGAGTTGCTTTCTGCCTTTAATCTGCTCAACAGTTTATCTTTGCTGTCGTGATAGGTTCAGCTTTCTCTAAACCGTTATGGATTAGTGTTCTGATATAACACATTAAAAACTTAGCTTTGTTTATTTTTGTCAAGAATGGGGGCGGGATATCAGGTTCAAATGTTCAGGCAGCAGTTTATGAATGGTTATTTTTCTGACAAAACAATCAATATATTCAGGTACCAAATGCAAGGCAAAGCTGAATGTTTCCAGAGACAGTACTAGTGGCTGGAATTAAAATATTTGTGAATCCATTACAAAAAAAAAAAAAAAAAAGAAAAAGGAACTTTATAAATTTGCATAATTATTTTTAATCTGTAAATACAAAATTGAATCCAGCATTCAAATAGTTCATCACACCCACCAATTTTGTATGGAAGACCAAAAAATAAATGGCCTGAAAACTTAATTAATAAAGCTCGTTGAGGATTTTACTAAGTTTGCATTGTTGTTGCAATCTGGAGACAGAAGTCCTGCCAAGAGCAATCTGTCTTTCAACTACAGGAAGACAGTACACCATAATGCACATAAAATGCCAAACAAACAAAACCTCAACCACACGGCTTACAAAGAGGTGTTCAGATAATATTAACCAGCTGTTTAGTGACTTTTCACAGGGGATTTATCAGCTATGAAAGTGGATGATCTACTAGAAGACTATGGTATGAATCCAGGCCCAAATTTCTACTATAAATTGATGAGCACAATGTACTAGTTTAAACCAAATCAAACAATTCACACACTTCTCTGATGACCTCTGTGTAATCTAAATGATTTGCAGATGCCAGCCTGGGATGGAGTAAGAGGTTGTGTTCCTGAGCACTGTCAATAATCCTCTGTGCAGCTGAACACTACTCCAAGGAAACACTAATTTTCTGTCATCAGTCGTGCTGGCAACCCTAGGACCTCACAACTTTCCTATCTAAAATGAAGCAAGTAGGCACTTTCACATTCCTAAGAGCATCACAGACACCAGAGAAGTTAGTGGTCTAGCGGTGCTAGAAAAAAAATAAAAACATAAACCTGGGAAAGCAATTCAGAAAAGAGGGGGGAAAAATCTAATTTTTTTGCAACTAGTGTGCTGTTTGTTTTGCTTTCTTACTGGGAGGGATCTTTATTCTGCGCACTGCAGTGAATGGCCATTCGCTATTAATTCATCTTCTTTCTGACGGCAAGTGGAGCACCATTCCAGAGTTTCAACATTCCCTTGATGCTGCTCTGGTTAATGCTTGTGTGCTATTTAAACAAAGCATATTCCAACCAAATCTGACTATATATGGAATTCCCTGACAAGTAAAAATTTGGATGCCCTACAAAAAAGAACCATGAAAACAGAACACACACACAAACACACAAACCACTCCAAACTGCACACACTCAACATGTACTAAAACAGGCTCTTGGTGGCAAAGGTCAGGTATCCAGTGTGACCAACCATCTCCCTGAGTGGCACGCCGCTTTTAAACTGCACAGTTCCTTGCTGCAGATTAGCACATGGGCTACCTTGGTTTGATGGGTCGCTGCTGTCAAAGCCAGTGCTAGAATTACTCTCAGCTGCTTTTCCAAGGTCAGGGATTTGCAAGCTAATTGTCCTTACATTGTACACTCGGAGCAGAATTTCCAAGGTGTTAATCTCTGTAAAACCATGTTCTTCCATCGCTAGGCAGGTTCTCTGGACTTGTTCAATGCAAGGGGAAAAAGAACAGATGCGGCCACCTGCAAAATGAGACAGGTACTGGAACAGAGAGCAAAAACCAAAACGAAGCACTTCTAATCTTTTTTCAAATTCTCACAGATGCACATACAATTACGATTATACAGACAAAGTGAAAACATTCTTCAAGAAAATCTTCATGAGGCAACTATGCAGTTTTAAAGTGTCAGCACAAAATCAAACGTGGATGAATACAAGATGCTGCAGACCCTTTAAAAATTGCAACAGCAAATTCATTTACCTTCCAAATCCAGTGTTGCCCACCACGTTTGTTCATGATAAAACCATTAAAGCTGATCCCTTTACAGCAGCGACTCTTTTGGAATCACTATCCACTATTCTGGACCGAGACACCAAACTCAAGTTGGCACCTACACAAAGCCAGAAGTCATTCTCCACACACTGTACAGAGTTGCCTTCATTAGAACATAAGCGTGCGTGCACACACACTCTCACAAAAGCGGCTGTGTTTATTTGAGAACGATGGTATGCGTGTACAGAATAAAGTGATCTCTCCAGGCCATAGATGGAGTGCTGTTAAGGCTTTACCCTTTTAGTCAAGCTGACTAGCATGTCTCCTGAGCATTAGTTTACTGGATATCACATCGGGCAGGTTTACAGCAAATGCTTCAAAATTTTAAAATAGGACTTTTAAGTGATAAACTAACACTTGTCTCCTTGTCTGTGCACAGTTCGGATTTTTGATTTTAAATACAGAGTATTAATAAGCCCTCTACAACTTCCTGCATACTACAATGTCACCTTAACAGCTGAGAATAGCATGATTCAGATTTACTCTGGAAAGCCACAGCCAAATCAGATCAAAGAATTTTAAGGACACTGTCTGCCATAAAGCCAGGGCATGTACTTTTTCACCCAGGACACAGTGTCCCACAAGGCAACTGCCCTTCCTGAAAAGCTTTTGTGCTGGGGGAAGGAACACTGGGCAATGGAGCTTCAGCTATTGTTTTACTTATTACAATTACATGAAAATGCTTGCTGACCTGATTTGCATTCCTTCCCAGCCCTCTCCCAGACTCATCCAGTCAAGCCTTCCAACACCAGTTGTCTAAGTAGTTAAAGACAAAGTGAGAGCAAAGCATCCTGCTAAAAATAGAGGCTATGCCGGGACTACGTGAAGCCTGCTTTATCTCAAACTCCCCTTTTTTTTTCCTTTTTCGTTTCTAAAGTCACATCTCTAAAAAAAGAAAGCATCAGGTCTGAAAGCATCACTGTAGCACTCTAGTTACTGTGCAGCAATGATGAGCTGGGTACTGACTGGGGAAGAACACCTTCTGTGACCGTTAATCTACCATAAACTAAGTAGGATTTAATTTTAGTCCTGAAATAAAGTCTCCACAGCCAGGAGTTCTTAGGCATCTTCAGAAAAAAGTACCCTGGACAAGTAATTCCCTGGAGTGACAATTAAAAAACAAATCTAATAATCACCTGCAAAATTAATGCTGGGATGTGTCATTATTAACCAACTCCATTGATGCTGATTTAATTGCACACCCAGTCCGCCAGTCCCTATGAAATTAGATTTATACGTTCATCAGGATGGCCAGGGCTACCAAAATTATTCTGAATCAGACAGCTCATCTCTTCTGGCCAAAGCAGTACACACTTCTATCACATTTGTAGATGTAAAAGAAAAAAGCTCAGGAATAAATTTCTGTTACACAATTAGAAAGCTACTGTGATGCACATATGCTATAAAGAAAGATGTTATATTCTTATTGTGTAGGGAACTGAACAAATGTCTAACTTAGCTAAATGTCAGTTCACAATAACTCTTTGTCTGCAAAGCAAGAATTTGCAGAGACCAGAAACTTACTACTATTTCATTCAGGCTTTTTGGTTTTGGTGTTTTATATTGCAATAAAAAAGGGAAATATATTTACATTTACAGTAAGTTTGTTCTTATTTATTCTGACTACAAGGGTTTCAAGATATGTTTAGGCTTTCGAATTCACATGCTCTAGATTTAC